AAAAAAAAGAGGAAGGGGCTGGGGATTTAGCTCAGCGGCAAAAGCGCCTGCCTGGCAAGCGCAAGGTCGTGAGTTCAGTTCCTGGTACCGGAGAAAAACCAAAAAAAAAAAAAGAAAGAAAGAAAGAAAAACTACCAACAAAGAAAGTCCCAGGTCCTGATGGATTTACTGGTGGATTTGAATTCTACAAGAACTCTTTTTTTGGTACAGGGAATCAAACTCAGGACCTTGCACTTGTCAGGCAGGCACTCTACTGCTGAGCGATATCCCCAACCCTACAAGAACTTTAAAGAATGTCATTACTAATGCCACTACTCCTCAAACTCTTTAATGAAACTGAAAGGGAAGCAATACTCCAAAACTCATTCCTGGAAGCAAGCATTTTCTTATATTAAAACTACAGAAAAATTCAACCAGAAAAGAAAGCTACAGGCCCATCTCTTTAATGAACTTAGATGCAAAAATCCTCCAAAAGATACTGGCAAAGAGAATGCAGAAAATCATCAAATTATACACATGACCAAGCAGGGTTCATCTCAGGGATGCAGGGATGGTCCAACATTCACAAATCCATAAATGTAATATACCACATTAACAGAACCAAGGAGAAAAAATACGTGATCATCTCAATAGTTGCAAAAAAGCATCTGACAAAGTCTAACACTGATTCATAGTAAAAAGCTTAAAGATAGTTGGAATAGAAGTTTTTTACATCAATGTGATAAAAGCCATCTATGACAATCCAATAGTCAACATCATACTAAATGGACAAACAGAGAAAGCTTTCACTCTAAATTCAGTAACAAAACAAAGATGCCTATTATTACCACTCTTGTTCAATATGGCTCTGAAAACATTAGCCAGAGCAATTAGACCAGAGAAAGAAATAAAAAGAATATGAATAGGGAAAGAAGAAGTTAAATTATCATTATTTTGCTGATGACATGATACTATATAAAGAAGACCTGCAAAACTCCACTAAATAATCCCAATAAAAATACCAAATTCAGCAGTGTAGCAGGATACAAGATGAACACTCAAAAATCAATAGCATTCTGTATAAAAATAACAAACTCACTGAGAAAGAAATTAAGGAAACAATATCTTTTAAAATAGAATCAAGAAAAATGAAATACTTAGGATTCACTCTAACAAAGAAAGTAAAAGACCCTTACATTGAAAACTACAGTACTCTGCAAAAGATCAAAGAGAATATCTGAAAATGGAAAGATATCCCCTGTTCTTGGATAGGCAGAACCAATGTAGTAAAAATGGCCATACTTCCAAACTCTTATACAGATTTAATTTAATCCCAATAAAAATACTAACAGCCTCCCTCACAGAACTAGAGAAAACAATCCTAAAATTCATATGGAACCAGATTAGACCTAGAATAGCAAAAGAAATTCTAGGCAATAAGGGCAAGCCAGGAGGCATCACAATCCCTGATTTAAATTTATACGCTAAAGCTACAGTGATTAAAAATAGCATGGTACCGGCAAGAAAAATAGGCTCAAGAATCAGAACAGAGTAAAAGATGCAGAAACAACTCCAAGCACAATAGCTACCTTCTCTTTGACAAAGGGACCACGACCTTCACTCAAAGAATGATAGCTTCTTTAGTAAGGTGCTAGGAAAGCTGGTTTTCCATATTCCAAAGATTAAACCCAGACCCATATCTTTCACCATGCATTAAACTAAAATTGAAATAGATCGAATATCTAATCTGAGCAACTTGAAGATAACAATATGTAATACAATAACCATTCTTAATTCCTCTCATCTTGTTTTTTTCAATCAAATAATCATTGACTATTCTCAATGGTTCTTGTTGAAAATACATAGTAACAAACATACATCCATTTATGAAATAGCATAGCAACAATACAAACATTACATAGTTATGGACAGATTGGTAGGATATCATCAATGGCTGCTGCAATACATGTTGGCATCCTCAAAGTGGCTTCTCAGGAAAACAGAGATATGCAAGAAAGATCCAACAAGTAGTTACAGCCCAAGCATTGCGAAAAATAGCAGATTACCTCCTCATCAGTGACTCCCCTCACTGAGGTGTGACGGCTGGAAGGAAGGCTAGAACTGAAAAGAAGGACCCAGAGACCAGCACCAGTGTCTCATCTTGTTTTGAAATCCTGTATCTTTTTTAGCTTTTGTGTTGTTTTGTTTTGGTCTTTGTTGTTATTTCGGTATTGCTTTTTTTCTCTTTAAAATAAAATTTAAAAAAAGAAACATTTCAACTGATGTAAGATAGCATAGGTAAAGCTCTTGAACACATTGGTGTAGGCAAATACCTTATGAACAAACCCCTGATCACACAGGAAATATTACAAAGCATCAACAACTGGGTTCACATCAAATTAAACATCTTTTGCATAGGAAAAACAAACACAAAATAAAACAAAACAACCCCACACAAACAGAATGAAGAGACAACCTCCAGAATGGGAAAAAAATTTTACAACTATTACTCATCAAAGGTCTAACAATATCCGGAAGGTACAAAAAAATTTTAAAAATCAGATACCCTCCCAAATTTAAAGACCCAATCCAAAAATGAAAGGAATAGACACTTCTCAGATGAAGAAGTACAAACAGCAAATAAATATATGAAAAATGTTCAACAACACTGGTCATTTGTGAAATGCAGATTATAAGACTGAGCTTCCATCTCACTCTAGAAAGAATGGCTATTATCAAGAAATCAACCAATAACAAATTCTAGCAAGGCTGTGGGGCAAAGGAACCCTTCTTCATTCTTGGCAGCAGTATAAACTGGTACAATTATTATGGAAATCAGTATGAAGATTCCACAAAAAACTTAAACTAGACGTTCCACTTGCCCCATTGTTCTCCTCCTAGGTATCTTCCTGCAAGAGTTAAAGGCATCACACACAGTGACTTATGCATACTCATGTTTACAGCAGCGGTTTTTAATAGCCAAATCTTTAATAGCTCATATTTCTATCAGTGGATGAATGGATGAAGAAAATGTGGTAGAGTACTACTCTGCCATAAAGAAGGATAATGAGACTTCTGAGGTAAATAGATGAGTTTTTGAATTGAGACACGTGAGGTAAATGGATGTACCTGAAGACCACAATTTTAAGTGAAATAAATCAGACACATAAGGTTAAATATTATGATACTGTTTCTCTTGTGTGAGAAACCTCAAGGGTAAATAAGGAATAAAATGAAGGACGGATGTTGGGAAATAAGAACACATTCAAATGAGAAGGGGAGCAGGGAGAGGAAGGAAAGTGATTAAAAGGAAAACAGTGCAAGGAAACAAATAGAAACAAAGCTTTCATAAATGGGTAGAAGAAAAAAGGTTGAAAGGCGGGGAGGGGAATGGGGGAAAAGAGAATTAGGTTATATTATGTACAGGTACAAATTCCCTATGATGAATGTGATCATTATGTATGGCAAATATGTATGAACAAAAAATACAAGGCCAGCATAACACCATTGAAGCAGGGATCTGATGAGATGACATATGCAAACATGCAGGACAGACAAGCATATGGGAAAACTCCCTCCTTTGACTAATACCACTCAGATATCACACTGTATTTTCCCACCCCATTTTACTGTGACACCAGTGGATAGGCATCTCATCGTGAGAAATCAAGAAATCTCCTCTGATAAGAGTTTAAAATACATTCTTGAAAAGTCTTGAAAGGTTCTCAAGAAGCAATAACATTCTTTGAAAGCATTTAAAGTAGGATAAAAATAGTCCTTGGCAGTCACTTGATGGCTTTACTGCTTAATGCTCTTTTACGTGTTACGCTCTCCCTGGGGTATTTTTATTTTAAATGAGTATCCAGAAGATAATACAAAGGAATTAGCATCCAGTTGAATTTATCCAATACTGTGGTTCACTTACCTTAACTTGCTCCAGGAAATACCAGCTTCCTGCAACATAGCCTAACTGTGCACAGAATTCAAACCACAGCAGAAGGTGGAATCTTCGTTTCTAGAAGCATTAGAAGGTTCAGATGAAAGGAACACAGTGTTGAGACTGAATGGAGCCTTGTGAAATGAGACTGCTGTTTTTTATGGGTGAGTGTGTAAAAATAATTTTCCATGGAAACATATCTATCTTTAGACGTCTTAGTCCTAACTACCACAGGGAGTATCCAGTCAAAGTTAAGCGACTTCACAGTGAGCAAGAGTGCTGAGGTTTGCTGATCATTTCTAGGATATGTCAGATATTTTACAGCTAGCTCTGTGCTTTTAGTTTCAAAATAAATGATTTTGCCCTTTTGTCTCCCTAAGATGACTACTAGGGAATTAACTGATATTTAAATGCATCAATATCATGACCTTCTGCCAGCTACAGATAGTAATATTATTTCCCCAAGATAATTTATCCTCTTAATTCTGAGAGTTATATTTGCATCAGGAAGTCAGTATTTTTCTTCCCTCAAAAGAAGGCAGGCCCTATGTCTAACTTGCCCATGTACTTTGTAGTATGGAGTCTTACATACAGTGATATAGAATATTTACTTATGAATGTCATAGCCTCTCTGTCAAGCAAGATATTAAAGATGCAACATTTCTCTTTTCAGAGTGAATTCTGAACAATTGCTTTATGATTGACATTTTACAATTTACTATAAAACAGAAACATGTAGTAATATTAAAGATAATTACAACAAACTCTGGAATTCTTAGGAGATAAGTTCTGAAACACTTAAGAATTCCTGAAATCACAGACACCATTATAGCACAGAATTTCTCATACAAAGCATACTCAACTACCACTAAAAATTTATAATGGCCCCCTTAAGACTCTTATAATTCTATAAATACAGGACCAGACTCATTTGTAAAGCTAATACTACAAATTCTGTCTGGAAAATTTATTGAAACAGTTTGTGAATTGCTTTTCCTTATTTCCTTATAGAACACATGGTAAAAACATTTATATCATACTTCCAAGCCTCTGCCAATGTGGCATTCCCACTCCATAACTTATCCCAAATTTCTGTTTTTCTGTGTCAGCACTATCTATTTCTTAGATTTCAAAAATATTTTCTTCCTTTCTGTGTCAACACTATTTGCGGATTGAGTTTAAAAGGCAAAAGATTTATTTGATCTAAAGAGAAGACTGAGTATGCTGATTGAGTTTAGCATTTTTTTTTTTTTCCTGTTTGTGCCTTTTACTGGTAGGGCATATTTTCCATGGATAGTATCTTGTTTCATAAAGGTTGTATAGATAAAAGTCAGGCTGAGATGGGAATGCTTATTGTTGAAAGGGCTCCAACACAGACAAGAAATTCAAGCTACAAACCAGCTTCCTTTCAGTGTTTAGGATTCAGATGTTACCTTGACAGAACTCAAATTCTTATACTATGCAGACCACTGGAATCACTTAGTAAAGCTGAAAACTGAACAGGTTGATTCTCTGAATATTTTATGTCTTATAATGATTTTTTAAAAGATTCTAATATAATCTATAAATATGCAATCTTTTTTGAGAGGAAGAAAAGAGGAAGGAAGAAAGAAGACTAAATTAATACATCCTATTGTGAATTAGGAGCTGGGTTATTTGTTTCATGCTTATTCTCCCAGTAATTTTTTTATCCTCTTCTGATGCTCGGGTTTGTATGCAGTTAGTATGGCTACCACTAAAAGTGTATTGAAATATACCCTCTCCCAGGAAGTTTATGAGATACATATATTATTCTTATTTATAGGAAACCAAAGCTTAGAGAAGTTTATACTTGTCCATTATTACACAACTAATAATTGGGTAGGAAAAATTTCAAAGCCATGTCTGTCTGAATCAAAGACTGTGTCACTGAAAGGATAAAAAGGATCTTTAAAAATTACGATTTTTTTTTAAAAAGATAAGCTGTTTCTCCAGTCTCCTCATTCTGAGAGAAAAACTGCCTCCCTGCCCCATACCCCAACCCCAACCCTGGTGCTAAGGGAGATTCAACATTTCTGGGCCCCTCTGCTGGGCACAAGCCTGGATAAACCCTACATATGCATATTTCCTGACTTTTGTTCTACCCCTCTATAAACTGGAGTACTTCTGTGCACTTAAGAGATTGGGGGCAGACTAGCTACCTTTCCAATTTGGCAAAATTGTGGATTATTATGGCTTGTATCTAGGTGTCTCCCTAAAGCTTCATGTAATCATAAGTGGGGCTTTTTGGAAGTGCCTGGATCTAGGGTGTGTGCTGCTGGGGCCAAGGACTTGTTGCTGGGATTGATTTATGTATGGTGTGATGCTAGGGTTAAGAGTGCCCCACTCTAGGTGTGAGTGCTACCTTCCCTAAGAGAAGTAGCCTGGATAAGATTAAAGAGACAGAAAGAGGGTTGCTGCTGGTTGCTTGTGGCTTGTTGCTTGCTGCTTATTACTTCACTGCTTTGCTGTCTTCCTGCTTCTGCCCACCATGAACTGTTTCTTCTGTGATCCCCCTCTGCCACGCCACCCTGCCTTGGAGCCAGCCGACTATGAACTGAAACCTCTACAAACTGTGAGCTAAATAAACCTTTCCTACTTTAACTTTGGGTGTCAGGTATTTTGTCTCAGCAATGAGAAAAGTAACTAACACATAAATAAACTCATTTTTCCATTCTTATGGGTTCTTTTTCACACTCTTGATGGTGAGTGGACAAAAGAAACTGAATACTTGAGTTCCATTTTCAGGCCTTTAATTGAGCCCTACCCCAAATCTCTCTCTTATCTGTCTATCTTTTTATAGTTCAAAGGTAGAATATGAAGGTCTAAAGAAGTTTTATATACCTCAACACCATTTAATATTTGGATGCCAACTAGATAATAGCAGATAAGGAGGGAAGCAAGGAAGGAAGGAAAGAAAGGAGGGAAGAAAAAAAGAGAGGCAGGGGAGAAAAAGAAACAGTTTTGGGAAGTAATTTGTCCTCTACTGGAGGAATTAGTATTTAAGAATGTGAAGGGGAAAATACACTAAATTTGACCATTTAAGTATGTATCTTTGTGTCTCCTGGGAAAGTTGGATGCTTCTAGCAACTCATTACCGAGGCCTCGACCACATCCCTTGTGTCCAAAGTCACAGTAGTTTAACCACCCAAAGAATTTACATTTGTGAGGCAAAGGTTAGGTCAGTGCTGTTGTCAGGCAGTTCATTTTGGGATAAACTCTTGCTTCAGCCTTGGGAAGTGTTGCAAAAGTGAACTGGGTGCTCCTTTAGGTCCACTACAACCTTTAAAATGTGATAGACAGATGAGAAAAGATTAGATCTTAGTGACTGGAATTTATAGAGTGCCCAAACACCAAAGCTGTAGCATATTAAAATTCAAGGAACGTTCTAAGCCTCAATTGATATTCAGTCTATTTTACTCCAATCTCAAAGTACACTTTAAAGAAAGCCAAGGAAAAATTACATCCTGAAGCTCACTTTATAATTATGTGGATTTAGCAATTGTATTAAAAAAGCAGATACCAACTTGTTACCAAAGCCAAGTAAAACTGAGGTTATTTTTATCTGTAGTTACCTAAAGAAAAACACATACAAATATGGTTAATATTTTATATCTATAACCATATATATATATATATATATATATATATATATATATCTCCATATCCATTACATATAGAGATGTTCAAGGATATATCATATGGCAGCTGATTTCCAGATAGTGATATTTTTAATTTTTTATTGGACATAACACTCTTCAAAGGCATCACTTTTACTGAGTTGCTACTTCCAGCCTCTCCAAAACACACTTTTAATAATGGAATGAGGGGCTAGGGATTTAGCTTAGCGGCACAGCGCCTGCCTGGCAAGTGCTAGGTCATTAGTTCAATTCCTGGTACTGGAAAAAACAAAAACAAAAACAAAAACAAACAAAATAATGGAATGAGATATGTGAAAACTACAAGGAAGAAAAGTTCGTGAAAAGGGGTAATGCAAAAACAAACTGAAAACTCAAGTAATGCCAGAGCCCAACGTGAGCACAGGCCTGAGCTGCAGGGGTCAGCCAGCCTCATGCAACAGGCCTCGGCGGTGGATTTCTTCATCTAACCACTTCTTTGCTCTTTGGCTTCTACGTGAACCTAAATAAGCACATTCTCTACTAGAGGGGGGTTTCCACTCTACGGTGAGGGCCCAGTTATTGGCTTCAGGGAGGAACCAAGTATTGAAATTGGCTGTGGCCTTCATGATCTACAATGCCTCTGAGCCATGGTGTTGTTTGCTTAGGGAGCAGAGCTGGCTGCAAGGAAGAGGCACTTTCTTCTTCTACCTCTGAGTTTTAATGAGCAGAACCTATCAAAATAATCAGGACACTGTAAATCCTGACAGGCTCCAGGTCCCTTCTGGGGATTTGAGCCTGACATAGAATTTGCTAATTTAATATTAAAGAAACATGAAGAAAGGGCATGTTCCCAGGAGGCTCTTTTTCCTGGATACAGAGGAGTTGGTGTTACATAACACAGCCTGCTTTTTTCCTGCCCTCTTGTCTCATGCTACTCAGAAATTAAGGGAATCTTCTTTTGCAGTTATATATGTATATATATATATATATATAATACATAACAGTTGCTACCACAATTAGCAAATACATGTCACAGGTTACATTTTGGGAGTATGTGGATTTAGAATTTCATTTTTTTTCCTTAAAATTATTTCCTTACCTTAAAACATGAAAGCCATGACCTTTGGCTACCAGTATAAATCGACCCAACCTTCTGAAAAACTGCAGGAGAGCAGAAGTGCTAGAACTCAGAGTTCACTGCAGAGCCTGCCCTGCTTCTGGTTTTATCTAGTTGTGCATTGGTGGGAAATGTTTAGTAGTGGCAAGTCCTTCAGAATTACTTCTGTGGTGTCTCTGAGTCCTCTAGATTTATTTCACTGACAAAAAAGCATGTTCCCCATCTGTAGGCATCAATGTTCGACTGAGAAAAGGGAGAGCACAAAATGGATCTGTTCTTTGTGAATTATTAAAGCAAGTTGTCAGCAACTATAAATCCTGATCACGGATGGCAGGCTCAGAAGCAGAGGGTTACAACCCAATCTGTGCAGCCTAGTGGAAGAAAGGAAAGAATAAAATCACTTCCTGAATGGAAAACTGAAGACATTCCTGTTTAGATTTAGAATGTGGATTTTGAAGGTATCATCACAATAAACCCAAATCAGAACCGCACCAGAAGGCCTTTCAAAAACAGAGTTGGATAAAATTTCACATTGTTCTTTTTAGTCTTGTTTTTGCCTTAACATCCTACTAGGTTGAGATTAGTCATCTAGAATGACTCAAATTATATGTCTTAGAAGAGACGTTTGTGGCCACTTAGTATGGATGGATACCTTCTAAACCTTTCTGTCAAAGCTGTAAAAAAAGCATATAAATAAAATGAACTTGTTAACTATCAGAAACAAAAATAAAGAATGCTGAGCTCCATTATTTCTGAGTCTCTGATTCTAATTTGTTATCACTTCACGTGGCAGCCCCTTGCCTGGGTCTCACAGCGCAGTAACTTCCTTTCAGCTCTTTTTGAAGTAAATAATCTTGGGATGCAAAGACTACATTTTTGGGCAGCAAAGGGATAAGAAAAAAATGTATTTACTGTAACTCTAACCATAATCTTTCTGTTTCATCAGTTTATGTGTTTATTTTCATCTATTCTATATAGTACTAGCAAGTGTCAGATAGTAAATATTAATAATATATTTTGTTTCAAGAAATATCACAAGCTATTCAGTTTCCAAGTGGACTTACAATTTAATGTCAGAGAGACCAGACTACCAGATGCCAGGTCTGGTGCTGTCAGGTCTGAGTTGGGAAGGGCCCTTCCCCACTGTAAGCCTTGGAAACACTGCCTTTTTATGATCCTAAGAGTGAGTACCTAATTAAGTCCTGCAGCTTACGTACCTCGCTTGCTCACTCTGGTCCGGACCCTGCCTCAGTGTTACAACTTTGGTGAACTTTATGGCTCCAGACTCATCTGGGGTGTATGCCTCATTCTGTCCTGCCAAGTGCATGGCTAGTGAAGATTTTTCCAGCTCCCCTTAATGTTAGCCCCCAAAGCCAATAGTGGATGTTTCCCAAAGGTGCCTCCCCATGTCGGGGATGCAGAGTACCAATGCACAAAGAGCAGTCCCAGGGCCATTTCTGAATGTTGGCACTAGGCATTTTTGCTTAATGTTGAACTGTTCTTTGATTCCCATCTTGGGTTTTGGCCTTAAACTTTGCTAGCTGTGACTTTGGACTTTAGTTCTTTGCCTTCCATCTTGTTTCAACAGCAGGACTGCCTGCTGTGACCATTAGCTAGGCCCCTGCTCTGATCCCTTGTGTGCATCCCCTTTAGCTTTCCTCCTCTTTCTTTCTCCATGGTCCTGGGCTAAGCTCCTGAGGCCACTCCAAAATCCAGAGTGGCTGTTGGCAGTGTGTTTGGAAGAGAGAACCAACACCAGGAATCTTGTTTTCTAATATTCTTTCCCTACCAGCTAAGAAAGACCAAAAAAATATAATATGCCCTTCTGGACTGCATAGGTATGTTATAAAGATTAATGTCTGTGAAATCTGTGTGGATTAATGTAAAAAGCAGCCATGTAGAAGATTATTAAGTTATTGCCTTGGCAACATCTCCACTTTAGAGAGAAACCTATAACACAAGCTGTAATTATAAAGGAAGGAGGCTGGGTTTGTTTTTAGCAAATGGTAACTTCTAGGTGCCTCTTATTCCCTTCAAATGAGCCATTGTGGGAAACTGTCAGCCATTTCACTCATTTCAGCAACAATTCCAGCCTAAATGTTGCTTGGAATGACTTTTTAGTTTTCCCTTTAGGGGTAGTAACACTAAAAAAAATATTCTTGATGGTGAAAAGCCTTTGTCCTACTAGGGTGGGCCTAAATTTAAGACCACCAAACCTGGAAAGAAAGTTAGCTATTAGTCTAGGAAATACTGGAGGGTGAGACACTCACAGAAAGATTATATCTCTGACCGTAACTATTAGGTCTGATTGCAAACTAATAAAGTAGAAGTATGTGTTTGCAGGATTATTGCCCAGGTGTGTGTAAGAGAATAAGGAAGAGAGAAAGACCATCCTAGGTATTTTCATTTGTTTGTGTAGTGACTTTATCTCTTACAGAACAAAGAAAGTAAATTGAACAGGTTGTGCCTGCTACATCTTCCACCTTGTAAGGAAAATTTCTCGTCTTTAACTCTTCCCTCTCCCCCCCACCCCCAGTACCAGGAATCGAACTCACGATCTTGCTTGCCAGGCAGGCACTGTGCCTCTGAGCTAAATCCTCAGCTCCTCATCTTTGACTCTTGATTGGAGACTTTCCAAAATATAGATAATGCTGTCAGCTAGAGGCGGAAGGTCCTGTGGGACACACAACAGGAATGTCTGTCTCTCTCCCATTTAGCGTTCACATAGCCTTGTCATCATCTCCAACTTCAGCTGCTGCAGAGGTCAGCCAACAGGCAGGTCTTGGCCTAGACTCATCAACAGTTTCAACTGAATTTTTAAGGAAAGGGTTAGTTTGCACACTAGTCAACTTATTCCTAAACTGCAAAATATATCCCTCCCCACCCTTAGTAATTTCCCTCCGCTATTTCCACTAATCATTATATACATTATTCCCTCCCTCTGACATTTTTCCACCTCTGAAAAGGTAAGAAATTATTTTAGGCTTCAAATATGATGCTGTCCCTTACAGGCAGTAGTATGGGAGTAGGTAGACTATTACAGATCAGACTGAGGCTCCCTGGCAGGTAGTCTGTGTTACTAGGCATGGAGACCAGGAGACAGAGGAGAAGTTCTGCTAGGCATGGAAAGAAAAGTCTGTAAATCAAGAGAAACCAAAGCCTCTTTCCCCTCTTCCTGAGGAATCTCATTGCTACTTTCTTTCCAACTGTCAAATAATTCCATCTTCAGATGCCTATAAAGGGGACAGAAGCTTTGTGAATTCTGGTGTTTCCTAGTGCATACTGTGTGTCCTTAATACAGATGAGCAATACCTTCTAAGTCATGAGTTGAAAGAGGTATAGAAAGGTAAAGGCACAAAATACAAGTTCGTCCCCCCAAAAAATAAATTAAAAAAGTAATTTAACTACTATTTAAAAATTTAATTACATTTAGAGCTATCCAAATAAATTAGGAATTTTCCCTGGAAAAACAATAAGGATCTTTCACAAAAAAACAAAAGGAAAAGAAAAAAACAAAGGCAGTAAGATGCTAATAAAATTCCCTGAAATAAAAGGAACAAAGGTCATAATAATTTTAGTTGAATAATACTTTTAATACAGAATGCAATGATTGAATCAACAGCCTGAAAGAAATCAAAGTGTATTTTAAAATAAAAAGGTTGCACAAGTAATTCAGCCTCTGTGAGAGAGAAATGTGGTAAGATTTTAAAGAAAGGATCTGATTTCCAAAAGATGGTAATATAAGTACATAAGTTTTCTATAGAACCTAATTTTTCTAAAAAACTACAACCCTGCAAATCAGGAAATAATTAAGAGGAAATTATCAAAAAGCCCTGAGGTAGGTAGGATGCACTATTAGCAAAGAAATAAGCTGGACATCCCCTTCTCAAATTGCTCTTACTTTTTAATTTATCCAAATAAATTACTCCATGGCAAAAGAAATATTTACCTTCTGACTCAAAGGAAGGATCTCTCTCTCTCTCTCTCTCTCTCTCTATATATATATATATATATATATACAGTTTTGTTTTGTTTCTGGTACCGGGAATCGAACTCATGACCTTGCCCTTGCCAGGCAGGCGCTGTGCCACTGAGCTAAATCCTCAGCCCCTCCTTATATATTTTAAAAACAAGGCGAAAGTAGTATAAATATTTCAGTTCTTAATAGGTCTAGATCCTGAGGCTGGTGGCATGCTCACATATGCTCATAGACAAGTCATTCTTAAGCCTCATGCTATCACTCACCTCCCTTTGTGAAAATAAATATCTTTCAGGAGACAAGAAAACCTGAGACTCTGTTTTTGATTTACCATATGATCCAGTTTGGGTTATATATCCAAAGGAAATGAAATCAGTGTATCAAAAAGATACCTGAAGTTCCATGTTTATTGTAGCAGTATTCACAATAGCCAAGATATGGAATCAACCAAGATGTGTACATCAGCAGATGAATGGATAAAGAAAATGCGGGAGATATGTATTAATTAATAATATATGAATAAAGGAATAGTATTCAGCCATAAAAGGAATGAAAGCCTGTCATATTCAGCAAAATGGAAGTAACTGGAGGATATTATATTAAGTAAAATAAAGCAGACACAGTCAAATACTGCATGTTCTCACTCACAAAAAAAGATAAAACAGTTGACCTCCAAGAAGAGAGTAGAACAGTGATGCTTAAAAGCCAGGAAAGGTAGGGAGGAATGAGAACCTGGGAGGTTGGATAACAGGTACAAAATAAAATTAGATAGGAAAAATTAGTTCTAGTATTGTACAGCACAATAGGGTGAATATACTTTACAACAACCTATTATATATTTTATGAGAACAGATTGCAAGCCTCCAAACACAAAGCAATGTTGAGATGGAAATGCTAATCACCCTGATTTGATCACTACAATGATATATATATACTGAATTATCACATTGTACTGCACCCATAAATATATTTAATTATTATGTATCAGTTAAAAATAAAAATTAGAAGTACGTAAGTGGGAATAGCTCCTAAAGCTAAGGATACTTACCCACTGAAAATAGAATAGTTATTTCGGGGTATCTAAACCTGAAGACAGCCGGGTGTGGTGGCACATATCTGTAATCTCAGCACTCAGGAGGCTGAGGCAGAAGGATGGTTGTGAGTTCAAACCAGCCTGGGCAACAAAGAGAGCTCAAGGCCAGCCTGAAGTGCATAGCGAGACCCTGTCTCAAAAAGACAAAAACAAATAATAAATAAACCTGAAGGTAAAAATGATGCATTATCTTTATTTCTTGTCATTATTTTCCAGCTTCCACTGGAGGTTTATTTAAGGCATTTCCTAAGAGATTCAATAGTGAAGGTTAACTGAAAAACAGGCCCAGCTCAGCTCCCATGCTCAGACATCAAGGAGGAGAAGCCATGCTGGCAGTTTGACTGGCTTCCTGTCTGTGTAAGAACGTCTTGAGACAGATTTTCCATACTGAGCAACACCAGAAATGGTCCTTCTAGTCTTGAAAAGCTTAGGAACTGGGGAAAAGGGAAAACTGATGTGACATGGTCTTGGCAATTAGGATTACCCAACCATATCTGGAGCGAAGCAAAATCCATGCTTCAAACAACAAAGGTGAAACTGCGACTCATCCACTTCTGAATCCTTTCTAATGCTCATAACTTTTCATTTCTTCCCTTTGCAGTAAATCTCTCTGATCAGCCCCACAAAACTAAGCCTTAAGGCTTCATTGCTTTTGTGTCCTCAACATTCTACAATAGTTTTGTTTCAAATACATACTAAAAGCTTACTATCCAGGATAGTAATCATTAGACTCCTGTCCTTTTTTTTTTTTTTTTTTTTTTTTTTTTTTTTTTTTTTTTTTTTTGGTTTTTCTCCGGTACCAGGAACTGAACTCACGACCTTGTGCTTGCCAGGCAGGCGCTTTGCTGCCGAGCTAAATCCCCAGCTCCTCCTGTCCTATCTTTGACTTTTCTAGTAATTTATTACTCTACCCAGAGTGTATACTTTTTATTTCTCTCTCTAGTTTTTCTTTCCTAATGTAGGAACAATATTACAGCATCTACAATTTGCTTTACAGGGTTATGGTGAATGTCGTTCAAACCCATGGGTAGACTTCTGAACAAATATGAACAGTCATTTCATATTGGAACTGTTATGGTGTACACTGGTAAAATATTGAAATAGGATGACAGTGGTAGCTTCATAGTGACTAACAGAGCTGAAAAATGTAATTATACACATATTCTGCCCCTCAGAATAAAGTGCCTGCAGTCCTTTTACTTCTCAAGAAGGAAGGACTCAGTGGTCCATTCAGTTCATTTCTTTGTCATCAAAATATCTTATGTTAATATAAATTGCACTAAAAGCCTATTGCCTATGACTCAGATATTTAAAAAATGGACCAAAGTATCCTCTAGCATGTATGATCTCTGTTAGTTCAGGATATGTATGCAAATCTGACTTGCTGCTTAGGTTAGCTTACTGCAAAGGCTAGTCTGAGCAATTTAAGTCAAAAGGGTAGAATTGTGGAGAAGAGGTAAGCATATATAATGCATTCTACATGCATTACCATGGGCTCAGTGTACCAAGATATTAATTTTTGTTGCTATAAAGATACAAGCATCTCAGCATCAGGTGAGGTATTGGACTGGATCATCTCTGTGCTCATTTTCTGGGCAAAGTTATATGAAGTGATGAGAAGAGTTTTAGGGTTTTAACTCTTACTCAGACGTTAAATTTCAGTTTTGTTTGTTGTACAAAATTAGTCAAATCATCTAGTCTTGATTTCTTGGGAAGAAATGGGAAGAAAAATACTAACCTAGACAGCTGTAAATGCTTTTGTTGCATTTATCACAACAAATTTTAATTTATTTACAGTTCTGTCTGTATCTTGAGGATAGGAACTGTATCTCATCTATTCCTGTATCTTGGATACCTAACACTACCCAATAATAAAAAACACTCCATAAATTTATTATGTTCTATTGAAACAACTATTTGCACTATTGCAGCTCTTTGATAACAATATACTAAATAATATTTTTGTAAAGACACACACTAGTTTCAAATTTTGATGGCATGATGGATTATATTATTGTTGAGTAACTATTTACCCTTATAATCGGACTGATTCAGATGTTTTCCTCATACCTCTGAGTAACTAATTACCCTTGACCCTCCTCAATGAGAAATCGCCTAATCCCTTGAATTTAGGCTTGGTTGCTCTGTCTAATGGGATGTTAGTGGCGTGAACAGAGATTGGAGTTGAGCTTGATTCATTTCACTTGCTCTCTTGAACTCTGCTTTTCATTATAAGAGCATGCCATGCATGTCCACTAGTCCAGGGAGGATGACAGGCACTTGGTACCAAGCCAGGTTAGGTCAACCAAACCTTGCCTTAGATGCATCTGCTAGAAATACGTATTATTCGATGCCATTATTTGCTAGAAAAAGTTATTGTAGTACAGTTGATAGTTAATCTATAGTTAATATAGATGGTGCTTGATTAAAGAATGTGCACCATTTGCTATGGTTTTAGTTCCTAAAAGTGGACTATATTTTTAAACTAATGAGTCCACTTTTAAATTGAACTCATTGGATTACTTGTTCACATAAGTGTGCTACTTGTCACTAATATTTGAAGTAGTAAATAGTTAAAACTGAAGACTCAAGTGCAATTTCTAAAACAAGGTATTTTTCTCTAGGCAAAATTCACCATGATACGTCCTGCTGAAAGCTTTGTCTGATGGGAAGATTTTTCTTTTTTACTGCAACTCATGTCATCCCTGAATGCCTGGTGCCAATATTTGTGGTAGAATCATCTATAAATCATGACCATTTTTTTCCCTCAGGAGAGGCAATATGTCATAAAGAACTCCCTGGACCCCTGGGTGTGAGTCCATTTTCTTCCATGGACATCTAAAGAGCTTCATGATCCACTGGTTTAGAAACACTTAAATTACAGAGCCTTTTATACTGAAATCTGACCAACCATGGAGTTGTTTTTGTTTTGTTTTATTTTCCACAGGGCTCCATTAAAAGCTGGAAATATTTTGGTCAGTAACTGAGTCAGAGCAGAACAAATATAGTTTTTACAGCATTGCTCCACTCTCTTTAGTGGTAGGAATACAGGGGTGCACAATCATATCCTTTGGACAGAATATCCCAACTTGAAAAAACTTGGCCCCAGAAACTTAAATGAGATGATGGATATGTAACTTTTAATGGCTTTTCTCTCTGAACTGTTGCCATAAGTGTGTCTTAAGGATACCTAGAAAGTCTGTTATTTCCTGCTATCCATATCTTACTAGAATGATGTTATAGATGTGGTGCACTCATGTAGTAGCCTATGGAATATTAAAAAGTTAAAGTCTGGTGGGCCTAATTTTGGCACAAAGATACAGTTGGCATAAGCCTTAGACAAAGTTATGTTTGAATAGGTCAGTTTTATGACAAGGTAACAGGAGCTGGGGAAGTTTGCTTCAGTAAAATAAGCCACATGTGAATCAGCAGTTTCAATGAAATTAACGTTGACTGAGCTTTAGTAATTCATCATCATTCACTAAAATACAGTCAAACTGGTGAGAGATATTAAACTATAATAGGATTCATTTCTGTCTTACCTTATTTTGTGTCACTATAATAGAATACCACAGACTGGTAGCTAATAGATAAATTTACTTCTCATGGTAGAGACTGGGCAGCCCAATATCAAGTTGCCAGCATCTGGCAAGGGCCTTCTTGCTGTGTAACCAAAAAGCAAGAGGGCAAAAAAATAGGGACTGAATTTGTAGCCTCAACCTTTTCTCTAATCTGCATCAGTCCATTCCTCCTGGTGGAGCCCTCATGACCTAAACTTCTTTCATTAGGTACTTTCTCCCAGCACTGTTGATGGGACTGGGTTTCTGACGATTTGGGAAGGATATGTTCAAACTCTAGCAAACTTTCCACACAAATGTAGCTTCCACAACTTTGATCTTGACAATGATCTCTATGATCGATACTCAAGGATGCAGTGTTGCTTTAATACAGTAGAACCTCTGTTTACAGATGTAATTTGTTTTTGTGATTCTGAGGAAGATTGGCTGCACTTGTGTTTGTGTGGGTGGGATAGACGTGGCCGTGTTTGTCACCTGATGTGTTTGGCAATTTTTGCTTCCATTTGCAAACTCCTCATTGGGTGATAAACACAACCATGGGCACCGTTCCCACACAAACACAGACACAGCTATTTGCTACAGAAGCATAAAACAAATCAGCTAAAGGCAAAGATTTAAAACAAAAATTATTGGATTTTACCTCAGGAGTTTCTAATTACATATGCTAGAGTAGGTCTGATATTGATACAAATGTAAACTGCTTGCAAATTGCAGGTTAACAGAAGAGATTTTTTTACTTTAAAAGAATAAAAAAACATAAATAACAACAAATAGACAAAACAGAACAAAGCAAAAACAATAAAAATGATGCAAGATTTCAAAACAAAATGATAGGAATTAACAGTGGTTGTTATATTACATATTGTTATCTTCAGCAAAGTTGCTCAAAGAGGAGAGATTTTAAAGGAGGTAGCTTCAAGCATTCAGCATGGCACATCATTACTCTCTGTGTTCTACAGAGAAGGAAGTGAAGGAAATGGAGACAGAGAAGGAAATGGAAATAGTGAACTTGGTAAGTCATTTGAGTGGCAGTCAGTAAAGCAGTCAACTTTCCACCATATGCAGTCGCTATAAATTTCAAATGAGATTATGAATGCAAAGTAGTCAGCACAGTGCCTGGTATATGGAAGCACTCAATAAAAGTTAGCATTATTGTATCAGTTTTCTTTTCACTAATTAAAGAACTCATCCAATACAGCCACTAATTACCTCTGGATCTTCATATAAGTTATCTAACCACTTGGGTATTGAGTTTGTTCATCTGTGAAATACAATGATTTTAGATATCCTTAGTGTTTTTTCTACCATAGATCTAAAAATTTACAGTTTTACATTAATAGGAATGTACTGATGAGCTTATGCTCTTGGTAACCACAGCTCTGATGCATGACAAACTTGTTTCTTATTGATACTACCTAAACTTTTCATCCTGTGGAAAGAATGAAAAGCGAATTGGAGTTTATG